ATCCATGCTTTATGCTGAGTGGGTTGCAGTAGATCTCCACACTGATTTAGGTCAATGAAGGCCTGTCTTGCTGTCTTTCCGATCCTGGCTGGCTTTGACGTCCTCATCTGTGCCACCGCCATCGCCTGTAGTTGAAACAATGCTGCCTGGGTAGGTGGGTAGGTGAAAGAGACCACTTCCTTTGGGTTTCAGCCGTTTATGTTGATTGGTGCTTGTTGTTGATGTTGTTGTTGGTTGGGTATCTTCATCACCTCTGTCTTCTCTACATTTACTTGAGGTCATGTTTTCGCTGCCTCTTTTGTCAACTCGTTGGTTTTCGCCTGTAGATCTTCGAGCTTGTGCGACATTCGACATAATTCATCACTGGCAAAACTCATATCTTCTAGGGTCTTTTCATTGGTCCAGCGTATGGCCTTCTCGCTCCTCACTGTTTGTTGCATGATGCAGTCCAGCACATCACTATCAGGAGGGTCATGGGTGATAGTAGGCAGCTTTGTCATACTCCTGTCTTCTCTTAAAAGGCGTCACTGACCTTTCCATTGTGAATCTTCCGGCATGTGGTTTCGTTATGTAGCTGCTGAATGAGTTTGATAACGGTTTGTGTCACTGAAATTGGAGTATTGAAGCAGTTTCCTTTTGAATGTCGATGAAGTTGAGGTAGAGAGTTGTCAGCCATTCTTTGCTTGCCAAGTGTAATCAGTATGAAATTTGATAATTTGATAGTTTTGGTTATGTTGTGTCATCATTGCTTCAGGTCTGAACGGCAGTTTACTTGAACCTTGGGCTACCAAATGTTTTCCACCGAACACATATATATATATATATATATATATATATATATACATATATATCAGATTTTTTCCTTTAAATTTGTTTTAATCCATTGAAAATGTCTCATAAACGTATCATATACTCTTGTACATTTTTAAAATGTTTTCAACTCACCGTTTCTTCTGTTAACAGTAAAAAAGAGAAAATGTCAGGTTATATGGAAGTGGACATTTCAGTGCAAAAATTGCATCATATTCCTATCCCTCGGATACTTTACTTGAGTTGTAGATTCTTGTACTGGCTGAATGACCCACCGCCACTACCAAACTTATGCTCACGCTTCTGTTGATTCTTCATTAAGGATCAGAGGCTAATCGAAAAGTAGCTGGCTGTTTTATATTACTAACATTAACATCGTTAACATCATTCAGATGTAACAACCCTTTTTTCGTGTGGAAATATTATTCTGGGAGGGACTTTGTTGAAAAATAACATGTTAAGAATTCCATCTTGTTTCATACATATTGTTTGGAGTAAAGCGATTATTATTATTATTATTATTGAGTGATTAAGTGCATAAAAAGAAACAGTATCCGTTATTCAACTTAGCTTGGTGGAGTTAATTTTTTTTAAACCTTCAACAAGTATTATTTAGATGACTCGACCATGTATTCAACTTTTTTGATGATATTTCAGCTTGCTTCTGCAATGAATTCAAATATGACGGCATTTCATCCACTTGTACCAATATCACTTTTAAGTTCTAAAGAATCAACTAATGGCGATAATTCTTTTCCTGTAACGCTTGGTTCATCAATGAAACGTGCAATGTCGCTTATTTCATCGAGCTCAAATCTGATGAATAATCCAACTGCATCATCATCAATTTCAGTTACAAATGGATTGAAATTAGGTAGTGATCTGGTGCTTCAGGATCAGTTACCCACAGCAATGCATCAAGTACTCAGTTTCAATGGTCATGCAGATAATCACTGTAATTCGGTATCCTGTTCAAAGTTTACCACTTAGGTAGATGGTTAAATTGTATTTGAAACAAATGTGTCTGATCCTCACTTCTTTTGAACGATTTGGTTGAACCTTGTAGAGAATTTCGGAAAACGATTCTGAAGAAGTCAGATGTCTAGAGTCTACGAGATGTTCAACTGTGGAACTGTAGCTGGTTTTGTACTTGCCCTTCAGCAAAAAACCTGGGTAATGTTTGCAAGCGCATTTGGCAAGCGAATGCGTAGTACTGCCGACGTACTCAGCTTCACAGGAGCTGGGTAAACTTGGAAATACACATTGATAAGATGTAATGCATCAACCTGTTTTGTACGCACTGATAAATCAGCTGTTAATATGAGAAGACTACGCAGTTTTCTTACTAAGGGACTTTGACAAGCGTTGACAAATAATGCCCACCGCGATATCACCTTTGAGTGTGAGATTCTTTGAAACCGTTCCATAGTCTTTTTTCCTTTCATACTTTTTTGTATCAATGTGTATGGGTAGCCATTCTGTAACGGGATTCCTCGCAGGGTTTTTTACATTCTTTAACAAATATGTCATCGGTGCTTATATTTCGAATTCGTAGTAAGAGTGAGCGCGCAAGACTCCTCTTCCCACTTAAAGACATCCAACTCCGATGAGTAATTCAATTTGAACATCCATCTACAGGAAGTCCACTTGAAACGAGAAACTAACTTTGTGAAGCATCATAACACAAACCAACAAAACATTCGGAAGGACTCGGTTGTTTTTGGTGATTGATTGGTTACAAAGTTGTACTAATCATGGACTGACATCACTTAGAGAATCATTTCCTGGGACTATCTACATTGTATTTCTCTATGCTTCATATATATAGTCTAGCTGCAGAATATAGCAAATTATGCATATTCCTCAGGCAAGATTGCGATGGCACATACTTCACTTTAAATTATTTGTTTACTGAGGAATATTTACACTGAAACCTTTTCTTTGACTCTGCGTATTTACCAAGTGAAGCTAACTTTTAAAAGTGAAGTACGTGCCTGCTATTACGCAAACCATCTGAATCATTATGTTAATTGTTACCACTTACTTGATAAAACTTCGAACACAATTTATTGTCCATATTCATATCAAGTGATTAACTGCACAACTTTGAGACAGAGTTTATATAGTCCTCATTTTCTCTCCTTCTTTGTGATGACAAGGGTAGTAGAAATTTCCATATATCTCGGACAGGTGCAGAATCATTCCTGTTATTACTGCATGTGTTTCGTATTGATTAGATTAAGTTTCAAAATAAAATATATAAACAAACTGAAGGTGTTACCATAGGATCACCAATATCCCCCATCGTGACACACATATTTATGGATAGTTGGGAACAGATGTCCCTTCAAAGATTTAGTCCTACTCCAAAGATATGATTCTGATATGTAGATGATACGTTTGCACGTATGAATTCAGTAGTGAATGCAGTCCAATTTACCTGTGACTTAGAGAGTGATGAAGGTGAGCTAGCAATCTTGGATTGCAAGATTAAACGAACACAAGAAGGAAGCCAAGAGACTAGTGTCTATAGGAAACCTTCCCATTTGAATCACTACTTAGACTTCAAATCCTGCCACCCCATTTCAGCTAAAGTAGGCTTGGTTAAATGCCTAAGTGTTGGGGCGAAAAAGCTTACTAGTAGACCAGGAAATCTGACAAGAAATTAGACACATCAAGAAAACCTTGCATCTCAATAATTACTCACCAAAATTTACAAACTAATTCATAAGAAAATGAAAGGGAAGTATTAGCAGTGGTAGTAGTAGTAGTAATACAAGTGTTTAGTGATAGTAATTCTACTACTAGTGGTAATAATGGTGACATGGTTGCTAGAGAATTCAAAGCCTCTGCTGTGTTACCATACAAGGAAGGCACCTCAGAAGCATTACGAAGAATTCTCAATGAGACTGGGATTAAAGTGGCGTTTAAACCAAGAGACTCGCTTACAAACAAACTTTGTGAGTTAAAAGATCCTATCGATGGAATTAAGCAAAATAATCTGGTTTGCCGGATCCCTCGCAATGATTGCGAGGTCAAATACATAGGTCAAAGTAGTCGACGCGGGTCGATTAGAATAACAGAGTACGAAAAATCAGCTATGTCAAGGTTAGTAGATTTTAATAAGATAAGAAATTTAGAGAAAAGCTGGGCTATAGCTCGGCATGTAATTACACGCAGTCACACAATAGGGTGGGATAGAGCGACAGTATTAAAAACTAACTTACTTGTGTGGAGGGAGAGATTGATAACCGAATCTTTTTTTATCTAATTAGCACAAAGCACATGCAGTAATAACAGGAATGATTCTGCACCTGTCCGAGAAATATGGAAATTTCTACTACCCTTGTCATCACAAAGAAGGAGAGAAAATGAGGACTATATAAACTCTATCTCAAAGTTGTGGAGTTAGTTACATGATATGAATATGGACAATAAATTATGTCGGAAACGTTATCCAGTAAATGATACTGTCTCACTATGTGGCATTTTTAATAAACAGACTAAGATGTAATTACAACCTACCACAGAGGCCAAGCTTTAGTCGTATATCAATTGGTACCATTACACTAATTTAGTATCAGTCTTTCAGCGAACATCTAAGCCGAAAAAATCCTTGTGGATGCGAACCAGTAATATATATGTAATCCTAAGTTTATCATCACGTGTTCTTAGTGCTCCTAACGTTGCGGGTGCACAAGTATCCGACAGTATTTAAAGTGAAGAAACACGTATGTATGATACAGAATCTATGTACATCCATTACTCTATTTAATTTAGATTCATTTATGTAGGAAAATTTAGACAGAATTTAAGTCTAATATCCGTTAGATGATAGGGTCTAAGAATGACGGTAAGACTTAGTTGATCATATCTTCAGCCCGTCTCACTAATTACACTAATTTAGCTTGGGAAGCGATGATGTGACTAAACACTGAGTGTAGTGAAATCCAAGCAGTTACATAGGTCCTTGTGTTTTTTTCACTATACAATTAGGAATACTTAAATAGAATATCAGTTGTTTTTGCCTAATGGTCTACATAAATTCAATGCATAAAAATCTAAAGCCTAGTAGGTTTTTCTTCATTATTTTAGTCCCCTTTTAATCCAAACTGAGTTAGCTACAAAGCCTATGTATATATTGTTCTATCATTCTTTTTTTGTTTTTATAGTGTGGTCCAGAAATGCACAGATTTGAAGAACACCTTCGAGTTTCAGTATTATTAAAATTGAATTGGTGCAAGGTACACTCACTGAACTTCATTTTGTACTCTGTCATCATTACAAATGTTAAGTTTTAACCATTATTCGTCATTTTATTGCCGTCGTTTCGTCCTGTGTTTATTTTATGCCAGTGGATGATGCTTAAACTTACTTCATGGATTACTTAATGGTTGCTCTAAACAATGATACCAAGCATGACAGATGATAGTGAATTCAATGTCTTTAATTACGCCATTTGTGACGAAGTATGTCTTCACATTATATGTTCCCTGATACATATCACAATATTCTCTTTTTATTCTATGAATTAGTTTTTTCTCTACTGGTGCTGCTGCTACTCCTGCTTTTATTGACTTTAATGTTGATTTTAGCTGCATGGAAAGTGTTTTCTGTACATCAATATGTAACATTATTCCACTTATGTGTTTATAGGCTGGTGATAATCAGCTGATGGATAGCAAATGTTCGGGGTTATCCAATTGTGTAACTTCGTATATCAATCCACTTCTTTTTTTTTCATTCTAAATCTTTTCTGGACAGAAGATTTGTCTTCATTTTTCATCTTCAAGGATTCAAACACTTTATGCGCTTGTGTTCATCTTACCTGTCTATCTGCATATCAGGGTTTTACCTATATTTTTAGCATTTTTGTATCCTTGTCCACTTCTTATTTCTATAGTGTTGTGAATTGTGGAATTGTCGACTGATGAACTGATGAAGTGTAAGTTCCTGCGCTTGTTTAACTGTACTTTATCTTCATACCCATATATATATATATATATATATATATATATATATATATATATATATATATATATATATATAACATTCTGTCTTTAAAACTATCGTTAGGTGGTGACTGCTGTTGGCTACATGAGCAGCTGGATTACACTACTAGCTGGTTCAAACTTTCATGAATGCATGATCTGTTTGTTGAAAGTCAAGTGTTGAAGCTGGTAGCTTCCGCCATAGGACTGTATTAAGTCAACCATTTTATATAGTTATCATACTTTTGAATACTGCTTTAAAATTATCGGACGATTTCCCTTTAATTTCGTGTGTGTGTGAAGTGTTTACGTTTATCCGTTTGTAGCAGAACCGGAAAAATAGATAAGAAAGTAGTGGTTAAATTATCCTCTGATTGAAATGTGCATTGATCTTGTGATCAGCAAGTTGCCTTTGTGTCATCATCTTGATTACTTGAAATCAACAATAACTTTCGTCGTTTCTTAGGTTTCATGTAGCACTACCATCAGAATCCGATATACTTACAGTTCAAGCTAGAATTAGTAGGTTGCCATCTCGCCTAGGTGACAGTGCGTGCTCTGTTGGATAGTATCCAGGAGAATCGAGATTGTTTCGACATTCATTGACTTATTATCTGTCTTGGTATGAAGTGCTAACTACGTCAAACACAAAATTAAAAACACTCCTAGGTGTGGTCTAAAGAAGACATGATTTGAACTCACTAAATTTTAGACAACCGATATGATTTTGATAAGCTATGAAAATCTACTTTCTTAGTCCTTAGATAATTTGTAAATTGCAGAAAAGCTTATGGGTCAATTAAGTTACTTTGCGACTTTGAAGAAATCTCCTAATTAAAGCTGTAAACATCTTTTTGAAATACTGTCCAAAACCAGTGGTAGAAAGCACTGGGAAGTTTCAAAGTCCCTTATGATTGTTTAAGTCAAACATTTTTTTGTACATCCCCTGATCTTGTAATAAATTTTCAACGTTTATTATAACTTTTTGCAGTTTCGAGAGAACTGCGAACCGGTGATGTGGGATCTGAAGTTGTTACATGAGCACACAAGTTATGTTTAATATGAAGTTCGTGAAGAGAAATATACGCCTAATAAATGATTTTTCTTAATCCGGGTTTATATCAATAACGGTACAGAACGTTCATGGATCATTTAGTTTCCACTTAACAATTGGCAGTTGATTTGCACGATTATATGGATAGTCACTACATATCTTCATCTTATAACGACTGAGACTTATTTACCCTACTTTCAATGTAAATTTGGTAGATGATACTGACCGTTACTTCAAGGGATATTTACTAACCATAGTGAGAAGTTAGATTTGGTTGTAGGAATCTATGGGGTGGTTAGAAGGAGACATGGGACCGGTCGATGGAGTTCCTTTCTGCTGGCCTAAGCTGTGTTGGGAGATGTAGACTGTCCGGTTAGGGTCTTCGAGGTGACAGGATTCTTTTTGATATGGCTGAAAATCAGTCACAATGGCGCAGATGTATTCACTACTTGACATCTTGTAAAGCTTAAACATTCGCACTAACCTTTATCTTCAGATTGCTTATTCTCTCATCCTACTTTATCTACTTTGATATCACCCCTTTTCTATCCACCTGTTCCTTGTATACTACTGTGAAATCTAGCAACTTGATCCAATGCATCAGTATGAAAGGTTCTACGTTAGGTTTGTCTGTCTATCTGCCTGTCTGTCCGTCATCTTTCCTTCGGCTAGCCGCAAAATGTTAATTCCTTATAATGAGAATGAATAGCTTAATCCCTTTTTAATTATTAATTAATAATTGTAATGTGAGAGGTTTGTCCCTTGTCAGCGAAATCAAGAGGAGTACAATGAATTTAAGAAGCACTGAAGCGAAAATGATACTATAGATGAAAAAAGCTTCAAAGTGTAGGTAGCGCGCTTTATTCCCAGTCTGATATAAACGGAATTTTTCATTATTATCAATATAGATTTTTGTTGTTTTTATCTGCCGACCTCATGAAAGCATGTCGTCAAGATCACTTGGACTATCTTCATTCTTTATAACTTCTGTTTTATCAGTTATTTATCATTGGTATTTACTATAATAGCCTGCTAAACTAAGAAGTACTACTAACTGAAGAGAAGATTTATGTCTAACACATAAATATATTTGTTAGAATTATATGCGTCGTTTGCGGTAGAACGTCTATACTTTCGCTTTAATTAAGACAGAGGAACAGCAAACATCAATATATTTACGTTTAAATATCGAAATACAAATTTTAATTTGGTCAGTTTAACTTCTGGTGTGAAACGGAAATCTCTGAAAGGAACTGAATGTAGTCTACTAAGAACCTTCACAGTTGTTCCAATTTAAGCAGATTTTTTCAAGAAATTCCTCATTCTGAATTTAGATATATTCTGAAAAATAGAGAGAATTTAAGAAACAGCTCAGTCGGATCTTCAATTCTGTGTATAGTATTTCCACAAGGAATGAATAACTAATCAGCCTATGTTGTTCTGCTAGGTGACACTGACAAAATGCAGGGTCTTCTGAATGCGTTCGGCAGAAATTTTAGTATGTTTTGCTGGCATGCGTTTCGCACCTGTCAAATGTAAGATGATTCTCCAAGACTAATCTGCTGCAACTGCTCCCGGTTGGGGTGTGTTGACCACTTCAATTACTTGATGAGTTGCATTAGCTCGAATGTGCTGATTGCTGACGAAATATCAGCTGGGATACAGAAGGTCCGCCTGGTCCATTTGCCAACCTGAGTCATTTGTGACACTGACTGGCGACATATACGACTATCTGTCAAAAGACAAGTATACAGCACTGTGGTACTTTGGACCTGTGAGATGTGGCTTTTAAAATTAGAAGACATGAAGCAATTACAGGGTTTAGATCACAGATGTCTTAGTAGCACTACTCGCGTTGGTGGGATCACTATGTGGGCAATGTTGAGGTCAAAAGAAGGGTACTAAGACAAGATAGGCAAGTTGATTGATGAGGTTCTGAACCTTAGTCGACTGAGATGGCTTGCAAATGTACTGCACATCCCGAGCAAGTCACCGCCTTCCTCGATGTGCAATGCAAGAGGAAGTTGGATTAGGTTGGGAGAGGGTTGAATGTGTCCAGACGAAGACCTGGCACCAGTGGATGAAGTTCCTGATCACTGGCGTGAGTCGTGTAAGGAGATGCGGACTGCCTGGTTAGTGTCTTCGAGACGAAACGAATTAGTGTTTGAGAACCTTTCGTGACATGATTGAAAATCCATCACAATGGTGCATCCCCTAAAGCTTAACTATTCACACTAACCTTTATCTTCAAATTACTGACTCTCTCACACCACTTTATCTACTTTGATGTCACTCTCTTTCTATCCACCTGTTCCTTGTGTACCACTGTGAAGTATCGCAACTTGAGCCGATGCATCTATTTGTCAGCTTCTATGTTGATTTTGTCAGTCAGTCAAATACTATGGTATGTATTTTCAGTTACGATTGTTTCTGTTTTGTTCTAGGAGTTAGCATGTTCTGAACTACTATAAAATTACTAGTGAATGTCTTGAAGCTTTTATATGTTTTGCGATTGGTTTAGGGAGGTGACTTTCAGCCATGGGTCACAGGTTTGAACAACGCTCCACCCACCGAGGTTCGGGGGGCCAGGTTGTATTATTAGCCCCCACACATTCGGTATGGTGCATCGCCTAGTCCACAAATGTGCACTACGTTGTTCAGCGGATTACGATTTCGACTGAGGAACTAAATTTTTCCTTTGATATAATACTATACAACGTTTTCACTGAACTATGTCATTGAATATCTTCCTATGCTCTGTTCTTGGTTTGTTGTAGAACATGTTTGTAGGAACCTATCATCAGAAAACAGAGAATGAACCCCTTAAGATCTCCAAAGCATATTTAAGTGACTACATAGAGTGATACTAATGCCTGGCATAACTGTTTCACTCTCATATAAGGTCAACAAAGGAGTGAGTAACTCATTCCTAACTTTTAAAACAGTTAGTCAGTAAGAAATTATGAGCTTCATTGAAACTTTAAGTTTTAACCAGTAGTAAGTGTCAGTATATAATAAACTTATGTAAAACAGACATTTTCCCCTCCTTCCCTGGAACTACATAATTTAGTTTCATTGTGTATCACAGATGACTGAATCTGTTCAACAAAGTAATCTATAGATTTACAAAGTGAATGAGAATTTGGGCGTACTGCGTAAAAGATCACCATTATCCGGTAACT